CCAAGCCAATCTATGTGACAAGACCCTGTACCTCCTGTCCTAAATTAAAAACAAAACAAAAAACCTAGAACCAAAATTTCTTGTTACTAGAAATAAGTCAGTCATGCTAATTTTAAATTTAATTCCTCAGAGGGTACTTTGTTTTTCTTTCTTTTTCTTTTTTTCTTTCTTTTTTTCTTTTTTGTAGAACCAGGGATTGAACTCAGGTACTTGTGCTTGCCAGGCAAGCGCTTATTCTACTCAGCCATCTCCCAGCTATTCCTTTTTGAAAAGTATGAACATTTTAATATTTAATCATTATTATTTTCCTCCCACACCTATAGCATAAAGTGCTATCATATATCCATCACAGGAATTAAGACATATTACTTAATTTTTCTTTGGGAATTTGTATTCTTTTTATAAAGTGTATATATAATATATGATTTAAAAATAATTTTAAGCAATATAAAGTAGTAAGCTTTTAGTAACTTTTACTTGTAATTTTACTAAGTCAGTAACTTTCTAAAATTAATCATAACCTTAGGTACACTCAATTAGCAAGGCACTTTAAAATTTCTGCATGCTACAAGTATGGTGGTATACACCTGTAATCCCAGCACCGGGTGGCTGAGGCAGGATGATTGCTACAGGTTTGAGACCAGCTTGGCGTACATCGTGAGTTCAGGAGCAGCCTGAACTATAGCAAGACCCTGCCTCAAAAAACCAAAAGTGTAATTAATTAATTCTAAAATTCTGCATGTCACAATCCCTTAAAACTCATTTATGGTCAAAATCTTTTTTTAAAAAAAAACCTGTTCTTTTATCTCCAATAAATGTCAGTATTCTTACATCTTCTTCTAAAAATCTACTAATCTCATTTCTGTTTAACATTTTTTATGAAGGCCAAACATGGTGATTCATGTATGCGATGAAGGAAAAAACTTGAAAGAAGATTTTATTTGCCCACGAGATCTTTTGATATCAGAGATGAAGTACTTTGCTGAATACTTATCTATGGATGCTCAGCGCTGGGAAGAGGTGGACATTTCAGTTCACTGTGACGTTCACATTTTCAACTGGTTGATAAAATATGTTAAAAGGAACACTAAGGAGAATAAAGACTGTGAGATGCCCACTTTAGGTAAAAGACAGTCTGTTGCTTTATTTTATAGTGAAATTTCCATATCAACTGACAGTGTTTCAGGACAAAAATAAAATATAGAAAATTATTTGAACATTAGTATGTTAGAAACTAATAATTCATGCTTTATTTTTATATTTTGGTACCAGGGATCAAACTCAGACAGGCACAGTGCAACTCAGCTATTTCCACGCCCCCTCAGGCTTTTTTAGAAATTTAGTTGTTTGCTAAATAACGTTTAGCGAATTTACTATTTATGACAAATAAACAGGTTTCTAGGTCAGTAGTTCTTAACATTGTGTGTGGACCACTGGGTCCTAGAGAACATTTCAGAAGGTCCACAAGGTTAAAGGAATTTGCACAATAATATCAAGATGTGGGCTGGCAGACGAAGCGCCTGCTTAGGCAAGTGCAGGGACCAGGGTTTGATCCCCAGCACCACATGCTACGCCAGCCCCACCCCTGGGCACACTGAGCCAGCCACTGAGACTGGGCATGGTGGCGCATCCCTGTGATCCCAGTGCTGGGGAGGCTGAAAACAGGGGGATCACTAGGAGGAGTCTGAGCTGGGTAGTGAGGCCCTGTACCAAATACATTTTTTTTAAAATCAAGATGTTATTTATCTTTTCACTGCGTTGTTGCTCATGTGATGCAAAGGAATGACAAGCAGGACTGTTGGACCTTAGTGCACATCAAGGCAGGGCACCCACCGTGATAGCCGTCACCATGCATTCACAGGTAGAAAGGGCTGGAAGAAAAAACGTCAGTTCACTTCAGAGTGCCCTTGAAACATAACAAATTTTTAAGTCTTAATTCTTGAGTATGCTGTGGTAAAAAGGAGAAGAGAAGTGCACATCTTTGCAAGCCAGTGTGTGATGGTTGTCTTGAGGGAAAGCATTTCGGAAACTTCCCTGCTTGTGTGTGCATAACTTCTTAGTACTCTTAAAGACTAATGAGATCTGATTGATGATTTTTTTTTTTGGAACCAGGGATTAAACTCAGGCCCCTGTGCTTGCCAGGCAAACACTTATTCCACTGAGCCATCTCCCTGGCCCCTGATGATCATATTAATGAATATGATTTGATTTTTTTTTTTTTTGTTATTGACAAAGGTTTGAAAACAGGGTCTTCTCACTGAGGCCATACCCAACCCTTTTTATTTTTTTATCTTTTGATAGGGTCTCATGCCTAGGTGGGATTTAGACTTGAAATCCTCAGCCTGGGCATAGTGGTACATGCCTATAGTCCTGGGAGGATTGTTTTGTGTTCAAGACCAGCCCAGCTACATAGTGAATTCAAAGCCTATATAGTAAGGCTCTGTCTCCCACCCCGCTCCAAAAAAAATTGTAATCCTTCTTCCTCAGCCTCCCATGTGCTAAGATTATATGTGTATATCACCATGCCTAGCTCAATAAACGTGATTTTAAAAATATATATTGTACATTGAAGTATATATTTTACACTGAAAAGCTCTGCATAGCTCAATGAGTTAAGTATTTTCTAAATGACCAATGTCGGAATTTTTTTTCTGATACTGGGGATCAAACCTGGGACTATGTGTGTGCCACATAGGTACTTGTACTACTGAGCTATATCACCAGTTTCCTAAATGATCAATGAGTAATGTTTAAAAAATGGGTTAATGATCCATTCAGAATATCAGATTGGGCCAGGGATGTAGCTCACCAACACAGTGCCCATGTGGCAAACACAAGGCCCCAAGTTCAAGTCTCATACCAAAATAAAAAAAAAAAAACTTAAGCAAAATATAAGATAAATCATGTAACAATAGAAAAATTTTTTGGTAAGGCTTTAAGTGTATTTGCAGGCTGGCCTGATAACTCAGCGAACTAAAGTGCCTGCTTAGGCAGAATACAGCAGGGTTCGATCCCCAGTGTGCCATGCCAGCCCCGCCCCCAGGGCGTGCTGAGATGTCGATTAAGACTGGGTACGGTGGGGCTGGGGAGATGGCTCAGTAGAATAAGTGCTTCCCTAGCAAGCGTAAGAGTCTGAGTTCAAACCCTGGTTCTGCCAAAAAAAAAAAAAAAAAAAAAAGGACTGGCTGTGGTGGCAAATGTCTCTAATCCCAGCACTTGGGACGCTGGAATCAGTAGAATCACTATGAGTCTGATCTATGTAGTGAGGCCCTATCGACCCTGTCCTAAATACAGAAAAAAAAATATTTTCAACTAAACTAAGAAACTAATATTTGTCAAGTTTCTGTGTAATATTGAAGAAGGCCACACATGTAAATGAGAAAACAAACATGGTGATACAGCTGTCTTCTGTTAAGTCAGGTATCAAAGGGATTTGCAAAAAATATTTCACATAGTCCTGCTCTTAATAATTTTTGGGCCGGGGGCTGGGGAGATAGCTCAGTGGCATAGGCACGTGCCTGGCAAACACATAGTCCTGAGTTCAATCCCCAGTACCAGGAAAAAAAAAAAAAAGCAAGCTAATGATATTGGGGCTGGGGAGATGGCTCAGTAGAATAAGCACTTGCCTGACAAGCACAAGGGCCTGACTTCAATCCCCAGTTCTGCAAAAAAAATAATAATAATAATAATAATAATAATAATAATAATAATAATAATAATTTTGGGGGAGGCTGGAGAGTTAGCTCAGCAGTCTAGGCACCTACCTGGCAAGCATAAGGCCCGAGTTCAATCCCTGCTACCACATTCTGAGCTAGCCCTGAAACTGGGCATAGTGGCACATGCCTATAATCCCAGCACTGCGGAGGCTAATACAGGAGGGTCACTATGAGTCTGAACTTCGTAGTGAGACCCTGTATCCAATAAATTAATTAATTGTTTTCATTTTGAAAAATAAATTTGTTTCACAAAAATGTCAACATGCTTATTTTAAAATAAATATTTTTAGGGGTCGGGGAGATAGCTCAGTTAAGGGCCTGAGTTCAATCCCTGGTTCCACCAAAAAAAAAAAAAAAAAGTTCAAATTTCTGTTCACATAGTTTCTAATGTGGTGAATACTGATAAACACAACACAAAAACAGAATGCTTTTTCAGGATTTTCAGTTCTTAAGATTGTACAGGGGGCTGGCATGGTGGCACCTGCCTGTGATCCCAGCATTCATGAGGCTGAGTCAGGAAGATCTGTATGAGTTGGAGACCTTCCTGGGGTACAAAGTGAGTTCAAGATCAGCCTGAGGTGCATAGTGAGACTCTGTCTTAAGAAGACCAAACAAACAAACAAACAAACAAAATTGTAGAGTCCTAAGACTGAAAGTTTGAGAAGCAATGTTCTAAGTAATAGAAAAAGTAATTAATAATCTTTCAATGGATACACACTTTGATTAGGAATCACATCTGTGGTTTAATAAAATCTTTAGGTTTTTTCGTGCACTAAAATTGATATCTACATCAGTTTCACAATATTTTTAAACTCTTACAATAAATTATACAGACAACATAAAAGTTTTCTGAACATAATCTATTGTAGTGACCAAATTAATGGGGTGGTTCCTTATACGACTGCTAAATCAAAAATTTCAGCCAGAGTTCAGAGGTTCCAGACTATCCAGCTATGTTACATATATGTGAAAAATAAAATACATAAAGAAAAATATATTATTTGCTCTGACACATTTATGTGTGTAATAGTAAAATAGGTGGAGAAAATCTAGTAATTATATCTTTGGCCTTAAGTCAGTGATAACAAATGTAAATTTTTATAAAAGCAAACTTTAGGGCCAGAGAGACAGCATTCTAAGTGCCTGTAAGGACCCGGTTTCCTGGGTTCCCTGGGTTTGATCCCATTACCACATGCTGTGCCAGCCCTGCCCCAGGCCCATCGGAAACCGGGCGTGGTAGCGCTCACCTATGATCCCAGTGTTGGGGAGGCTGAAACAGGAGGATTGTTACAAGTCTGAGCTACATAGCAAGACCTTATACCAAATACATAAATTTTTAAAAGCAAACTTTAACCTAACTAGGAACAGTATTAACTGCCTAATCAAATGTCTGACAGCCACGGGTTCTTAGCAGGATTGTTAACTAGGTGAGCTTTCTTGCCTCATCTTACAATTTCCACTCAAGACTCTTCAAATTTGGGCTGGGGAGATGGCTCAGTGGAGTAAGCGCTTTCCTGGCAAGCGCAGGGGCCTGAGTTCAATTCCCGGAACCAAAAAGAAAAAAAAAAAAAAAAAAGACTCTTCAAACTAGAAGTGCTATTTAGATAAAGATTTGGACTGCTTGTTTTAATTACAAAGATTTCTAGTATACAAAAATTATGCTACAAAAAAAAATTATGCTACAGTAGTGAAAAAGTTTCTTCTTCTGAAATACCCTTCATTGGCCAAGACGGATTTACTAAAATAAAGTGTCAGTCAACACCCCCTTCCCGTTTATGTCTGAAGATTCGTTTGGTGTGCCTTAGGAAGTAACTTCAGCACTTCTGCAGTAGTGGTAGAGTGTGTGTGTGTGTGTGTGTGTGTGTGTGTGTGTCCTCTACACTGAGCACCATGCCCAGCATTTAAAAAAAATTTTTTTTAATATTGAAACAAGGCCTTTCTAAGTTAGTAATTTGCCCAGGCTGAGCTCAAACTTGCAGTCCACTGGGTTTATACATGTGCACCTTAACACCCAACTATAGTAGTAGACTCCTTACAGCCTTTAAGAATCTTTTTGAATATTTGTTCATAGAAAGCATTGACTGTTTTACCAGCATCATGCTCTTTTTATCACAGTAGCTTACTAGTATAATTTCAAGGCAGGGATTGGGAGGCCCCTGTCATAGAAAGCATTGACTGTTTTACCAGCATCATGCTCTTTTTATCACAGTAGCTTACTAGTATAATTTCAAGGCAGGGATTGGGAGGCCCCTGCCTTGCTCTTGTTGTCCAGAATGAACTCCTTTCTAAATTTAATTTGATGTTATATCATGTTAATGGTACCAGGAATCAGACTCAGGGCCTCATGACTGCCAGGCAGGTTCTGAACTGCTGAGCTACATACTTGGTCCTGAACTCCTGTTTAAAATACCTTCACTAATAACAATTATTTTTGAAAGTTTTTCTCTCGATTTTTATATTTTTTGTACCTTGAGGTGGAGTCTGTACTTATTATAAATCTATTACTATGTGTTTTTCTCTATATTCTAAATTGTAGCTTTGAACTTTCTTTTGTATATTTAAGCTTAATGATATAAGTAAGATTATATTAAATCATTCTTATTAAACTAACATCTTTGCTGGGTGTGGTGGCACATGCCTGTAATCCCAGCCCTCAGGAGACTGAGACAGGATTGTTGCAAGTTTGAAACTAGCCTGGGCTACAAAGTGAGCTCAAGGCCAGCCTGAATTGTATAGGGAGACCCTGACTCAAAAAGATTAAATAAATATAAAGTAACATCTTTTTTGAAAGTAGAAAGAAATCTGTTTAGAGGAGACCATGGTAAAGGGAATTTTATTTTCTTTCTTTCTAGAGCCTGGAAATGTCATTTCAATTCTTATTTCTTCAGAGTTTTTAAAAATGGATTCACTAGTAAGTATTAATTTTAAAAATCCAATCTTTTGTTTCACTCAGTTTCTTGTTCCTTCAAATATCTGAGAAATTCTCAGATGTTTTATCAAAGTAGCTAATTCAAGAATGTGATTTTGTTGTAGCTAATTCAAGAATGTGATTTTGTTGTATTACATTGCTAGTGTTTGGAAATACTTTTAGGAAAAGGTTAAAGCTAGCAAGTGTCATTTCTATGTCATGCCAGTAAAGCAAGCAGTTAATCTTCAAAGAGTAGCTCACTTTTTAGTAGGTGAAACTAAAGATTTAACTTTACCTCAGATGGGCTTTATTTTATCAGCAAATTAAATAAAAACTAATTGAAATGTGTTTTGATATTTGAATGATTTCTTTAATCATGATTTGCTTTTATTTTCCTCACTTCAGTGAGTGAAGAACAAATATCCAGCTATATAATTTTAATATTTACATCACTGAAGTTTATATTTATTGCTCAAGAGCTAAATGAAGGATAAAAGTACAATACATAGATACATTTATATCTTAAGCTCTAACGCCAAATATCTTTGCTTTTCTTAATATATCATTCAAATTATTTTAATTTTTGTTTATGGTTGATATTTTCTGGTTAACATTTAAAGAAATATTTACTTTTAGCTCATAAAACTAAGCAAGGCAGAATACTACTTTGCTGTGTTGGCAGATGAAGTTTGTTTACTTTATTATTTGGCATTTCCTAGTTTTACTGGTTACTGTACTTTTTACCCTCTTGCTGTTTTCCATTTAGTCAGCTGGTGTGACTGTTACTTTCTTAAGGTAAGGGCAACAGAAGAAAAGCAGAGTCTAAAAGAGTCCTTAAAGAATTTTACCTGCTATCAGCAAAATATTTGGGAGAATATGTATCAAACCTTCCTTTACTTTTAAAGTAAATAAATACACCTCAAGTTAAACGGGGGGAAGGAAATCAGAGAGCACACCTAGAACAACTGAGAAAGACCTTAAGTTTGTTTCTGAGACCTAGAGAAACAGGCTTAAATTATAACTTAAATTTTCTGAGCATGGTGGCGCACACTTCTAATCCAAGCATTTGGGAGGCTGAGGCAGAATTACTATGAGCTTGCAGCTAGCCTAGGCTATATAGTAAATTCAAGACCTACCTGGACTACATAGTGAGACCCTGTATCAAAAAAAAAAAAAAAAAAAATTCAATTAAAGGAACTTACATGCCCCAACCATAAAAGTTATTATTTGCAATAGAAAAGGTTAGAAAATAATTTTCCTAGGATAGCTCAGCGGTCTAAGTGCCTACCTGGCAAGCACAAGGATCGAGGTTCAATCCCCGCAACCGGCTGCCATGCAGGTCCACCATGCTGGCCCTGCACCATGCAGGCCATGGAAACCAGATGTGGTGAACACCTGTAATCCCAGTATTGGGGAGGCTAAGACTGGAGGATCACTACAAGTCTGAGCTCCACAGCAAGAGCCTGAGGCAAATAAATAAACCCTTATTTGACCCTCAAGGCCAGTTTGGAATAGGTTATATTAACCCATAAATAGATAAAAACTAACACATTAAAAAAATACCTAGATTAGGCTTTTAGTGAATTTTATGTTTGAAAGGTATTGCTGACATGACTTTTTGTGCTGTTATTTTCAATATTCATTTCTATTCTTTTTTTAGGTAGAGCAGTGTATTGAGTACTGCCACAGAAATATGAACGCTATAGTAGCTACACCATGCAACATGAACTGTATTAATGCTAATCTTCTTACGCGAATAGCTGATCTCTTCACACATAATGAAGTTGATGATTTAAAAGACAAAAAAGATAAGTTTAGGAGGTAATTTTAAAATTTAAACATAATGTTCCTGTTAAAAGAAATATGGTTCTTGTTTTTATGTTAATGAATTTCTGTTCTTAGACTATATGTAAAGCTGGGCAAGGTGGTACACACCTGTAATCCTAGCACTTAGGAGGCCGAGGCAAGAGATCACTGAGAGGTGAAGTCAGCCTGGACTATGGTGTGAGACTTTCTTATATATATTATATATCTTATATGTGTACATATATATGTGCATTTTTTCTATTTTAAGTGAACACCTAGTAACTCATAATGAAAATTAGTATTTTATATAATAAATATATGAGCATATGGGGTAGTGAAGTACACTGAAATTGTTTAAGACTGTTTAGGGGCCAGGGAGCTGGCTCAGTAGAATAAGCTCTTGCCTAGCAAGCTCAAGGGCCTGAGTTCAAGCCCCGGTTCCGGAAAAAAAAAAAAAAAAAAAGACTGTTTAGTATAAAGGGAGGGTACTATGAGCAGTAGTCGTATCATTTAGAGGCTATATAGACTAAGCAAGGAGATGCCTTATTTTAGCTGTGAATGAAGAGGGGAAGTCCCATCATTTTTAAAGAGCTAATTCTGGTTGCTATGCGATTAACAGATTTGGGGGACCTGAGGAACAAGGAGAACTGTTAGGTTAGCACGGCAGACTGGGGGGAAGAACTGGAAGATTTCAGCTAGGGTAGAAACAGAAAAGCTAGAGCGAAGTAGATGGGTTCAGTGAATGTTAGAAGGATTTGTCAGGTTTATAAATGTGACAATGTGGGACAAGAGGGTTCCAGGATAATTACTAGGTTTTCAGCTGGAGTGACTAAATGGATGGTCCTACCACTGACAGAAAAAGGAAAATTGGAAGGGCAAGGGTTGGAGTGAGACAAATAAGGAGCTGGGCTGGGTCTTGTTGAAGCATTTAATATACTTCTTGGGCATCCTGAAATACTGAGTAGATGTTGGATACAGTAGTCTTAAATTTAAGTCAAAACTCAGGGCTTAAAAATATGAAATTGAGAATAGATGAGGTGTAAAACAGTGGAACCAGATGAAATTTCTTAGCAAAAGACTTTCATTTAAAAAAAAAAAAGACTATAGTATTTTTTATCTTATTCAGGAAATCTTTGCCTACCTGAAGGTAGTGAAGATATTCTATGGGGTTTTTTCCCCTAGCATTCATGCTCTGTGTGTGTGTGTGATGACGGAAAGGGTCAAGCTCATTTTTTTCCCCAGATACCTAGCAATCACCATGTATTGAGCAGACTGATTTTCCCCACTGAGTTGCAGCACTTTTCTGTAAATCAGCTCACTGTGCTTGAGCTGTTTCTGTGTTCTGTGTTGTTCTGTTGATTGCCTGGCTTGAATTAGTAGCACATAGACTTAATTATGGTAGCCTTGTAATAATTTTTGGTATCTAGTAATCTAGAGTCTTCTTTACCTTCACTTTTCTTCAAAATACTGTACAGCCTTTTTAAGTCCTTTGCATTATATATGAATTTTACAGTCAGCTTATTTTCTGTTTTTGCTCTCTTGATAATATTTTAGTCCATAAATACAATTCTCCATTTATTTGGGTATTCTTTCATTTACTTCATCAATGTCTTTATTTGGTACTTAGAGAAATTTCCATTTGTTAAATGAATTTATTCCTGGATATTTAATTTTCAATGCTACTGTAAATGCTATTCTTATTTTCTAAGTGTTAACAAGAGGCCACCCAGCATTTAGATACTGAACAGAGAAGCAGCCTCCAGTGAGAGGCCTGAGGAGCAGCTGTCAGGGAAGCAAAGGAAGGCAAAAGGAGAATGAGTTTCAAGAGGAAGAGCAATTAAGTGAAATATGTAGAATTCTGCTGTCATGTACAATCCAGTGAAGACAGATGGATCAAGTGGATTTAGAAAATTTTTTCCAGATGTTTTGCTTGAATAGTTGCCAAGAAATTTAGCAGTTATTTAGGGAAAGAAAAGCTTAAGAAAAGATATTTTTAAACATCTGGGTAATTAATCAGGATGATTCATTAAAGAGAAAGAAATTGATAATACGTGGCTGGAGAAATAGCTCATTGGTCTAAGCACCTGCCTGGCAAGCACAAGGACTTGGGTTCCATCCCCAGTACTGCTTGCTGCGCCAGCCCCAGATCCCTGGGTGCACCATGCTGGCCACTAAAACCAGGCATGGTGGGTTTCCCTGTAATCCCAGTTCTGGGAAGGCTGAGACAAAAGGATCACTATGAGTCCAAGCTGCATAGCAAGACCCTGTATCAAATAAATAAATTAATACATGATTTTTAAAAATTAATAATACAGAGGACTATCCAAAAATTTAGGCTTTAAGGACAATCTGAGGCTTTAGCCTTTATTTTGTATTTGAGTGTGCCAGTGGAATCCTAAATCCATATTTGGGATTTATATCCAACAGACAGAAGGAGCAGAGAGTGAAGAGGGGATGAGGTAAAAAGAATTAAGGTTGTTCTGTACATGTACAGTAACTCCACAATGGAAGTAATCATCAAACACTGCAAGCATGTACATACTAATAAAAATAAGAACCTATAAAAGCACAGAGCACCTGACATTGCACAGGGGGGATGGAGACAGACAGGACATGCATTTATTTTTATTTTTTTTCAAAGTTTTATTGATAAACAGATAGCAATGAGACAGTTTCAAATCAAATCAGAAGTACAGTTTCAACAAATAATACACTGCATATATTCTTCTTAGTGGTTAATTGCTGTACAAGATGCGGACTTGTGATCCTCTTTACAAACACCATTAGAACAAATCATTCTATTCATTAAGAGAATGCAACTATATATCTATCCCAACCACTTTGAATACACAGATACAAAATGGACATTCATAGGTATATCCCATTTTTTCTAAGTTCCGTTATTGAATATTATAGGTGTGTAAACTCAGCAAAATATTCTAAAAGAGTCCAGTAGCCCATAATAGTATTGGGTCTTCTGTTTAACTGGCAATGTCAGAAATTATTGACCTGAGTCCCCCACAGCTCAACTTAACAACATGGCTTTACTTCCTATATTTCGTCTTCATACTTTTCTACTGGATGGTTAAGACCAAGGTAAAGCAGGACTTGTGCAACAAGAGTTGTAGCTTTTTGGTCTGAGAAGGTCAGTGAAATGCCCTCAGGATTTATCCTGAGATCCTGTACCTCAGATTGTAGAACCTTAGTCAGTGCAGCCATGAGGATGAGTCACGGCCATTGCTTGGAGGACATGCATTTAGGGTTAATGACACACTTAGGAGACTTCCAGTTACAGTATGCTTAATAATAAAGTAGTTAACATTCTCTCTCTCTTTTTTTTTGTATTTAGTACAGGGTCTACAGGGTCTCATTACACAGATCAGACTCATGGTGAACCTTCCTGTTTTCAGCACTGGGATTACAGGCACCTGCCCTAGTCTCATTTGCCGCCTCAGCATGCCCTGGGGGTGGGGCTGGCACGTCTTGCCAGTATCGAAACCCAGCTTCTGCGCTCTGCCTAAGCAGGAACTTTGGTCTGCTGAGCTATCTGGCTGGCCCTCTCATTAATTAATTAATTTATTTATTTGGTACATGGTCTCACTACACAGTTCAGACTCAGTGATCCTCCTGTGTCAGCTTCCCCAGCCCTGGGATTATAGGTACTGAGCCTATAATCCACTGAGCGCAGGGTTCCAGGGCTAGTGCAACATGCTATAGCAGGGATTGAACTTGGGTCTTTGCGTTTGTTAGGCAGGCACTTTGACTGCAGAGCTATCTCCCCATCCCCTGCATTCATTTAGTTTTAACACTATGCTTGACACTCTAATGGTATTGTATCATTCAACCTTCATAAAACCTTATGAGTTTGGAATTAGTAATCACATTCTTTTAGAGGAAAGTTTGAGAGAGTACATTGCTAAAAATCATACACTTACTTATTGGTAGAACTGGACTGCTAAATTCTCAAAATCTTTGATTTTAAATACTTTAGTAACAGCCAGGCATTGTAGCCCATACATTCAGGGGCTGAGGCAGGAGGATTACCAGGAGTTTGAGGTCAACCAAGGCTACAAAGTGAGTTCAAGACAGCCTAAACTGTATAATGCAACTCTATCTCAAAAAGACAAAAAATAAATACTTCAGTAATAAAGAGAGGTAGATACTTATCAACCTTATTTTCTGATAATAGATTCTTTGTAAAGCAGTTGGGGTTTTTTTTGTGTTTTTTTTTTTTAATTTTTTTTTTTTTGCGAAATTGGGGATTGAACTCAGGCCTTTGTGCTTGCCAGTGAAGCGCTATTCCACTGAGCCATCTCCCCGGCCTTGTAAAGCAGTTTTTATTAGATTTTTTTTTTCACTTAGTACATCAAAATGTATTATAAACTTCCAAAAGAGCCTCTCTGAGGATTCATTCATCTTATTTTACCCATGTATAGGTAGTATTTATTTTGTCACTATCAAGTAACTTTAATGAAGTAAACATAGAAATTAATTTTTGGCCATTTTTTGTTAATAGTAAACTTTTTTGTAAGAAGATAGAGAGACTGTTTGATCCTGAGTACTTGA